GGGGGGGGGGGGGGCGAAGAGGAGGACGAGGAGGGGGAGGAGGAGGAAGTTGAGGAGGATGGGGAGGAGGAGAATAACAACAACAATAACAACTACAACAACAACCATAACAACAAAAATAACAAGGGGTAAGATCACAATAGCAGCAACAACAACAATAACAAACATAATAAAATCTACAACTACAACAACATCAACTACTACAACAACAACAACAACAACAACAACAGCAAACAGTTTTTCAAAGAGATTGTCGTGTAAAGTTGAAGTACGTCACAAGCCATTTATAGTTAAACATTTCCATTATGCTAACCATTTGCCTTTGGACACCTATGATTACAATTACAGTAGATATTTCACGCCGCCATCGACCCAATTTAGATCACCTAGGATGCGGGCTGTTCCCATGTTGTCTGTTGGTGTCAACTGGTCGCTTCCTCAGAATTACAAAATTATATCTGCTCAGTACCTAGTTTTGAGAAATTTGATCTTAAAAATGTTGAGTTTCTCAACGTGTCAAGATTTTTTTAAAGCAATTCTTTGTCTTAGACTTCGAATAATGTTACGATTTTGATAGAGGAAACAGGACATTAATTTGATTTCTGACGTCATGATGTTAGGGACCGTTCACAATAATGTCAGCTAAAATTTGGCAACAAATGACCCCCCTCGCCTTGTCATATTCTATCATCTTTGCCAGGAACCCCCAACCATATTGACGTCAACCAAAATGTACATATGTACATTTAGATAGAACCTGTACATGAATTATTACAGTGGAATCTTGATATAACGAGAGGGGGGGACCGGTGTGAAATGTCCGTTATAGCAGCATTCTCGTTATTAGGGATCCAGTAATTAATTCAAGTGAAATAATAAAGTAGACCTAATCTATGAGTCTTGTGTTCTGTTTATTTCTTTTCGTTATCTCCCTCTGTTATGTCATACACATTTCGTTTTTTAAGAAGCGTTTTATGGCACTTTCAACACAATGAGACCATCAAGGTGATTTTAAAAATTGTTTACAACTTTTTTTCTGAATGTCTCACTCATAATGTGTCCTAAAAAGTTGTAATTTGGAACAGATTTATGTTTAATTTATCCAGAAGTAATTTGTTAGACATAAACTTCAAAAAGAAGAAATTTATTTTTGAAAACGGAAATGGCTCATATAAAAACTACCCGTAAACGCAAAATGCACAATTTTATAGATCTCGTAAGGAAATGATTGGTTGTTTTTTCGTTTCCTTTTTTTTTAAGATTTAAATTTTCCATCCCTGTAACCTCATGGAAACAATATTTCTTTTCTCTTACAGAGTTGTCTTTAATTCTGGAATTCCGAGAACCAGTGCTCTATATGTCCTCCTTTGGACTCTACCAATTTTAACATATTTATAATGTTTAGTGGTGGCCAAATACAAGGACTCACCCAACCATGAGTACTCAATGCTACACACACCGTACAATGGGGATATATCTGCAAGCAAACGAGTTGGGGGGTTTTAAAGCGCTATGTAGAGCAAAACTATTTTGTAGATTTATCTGAAATGAATATCAGCCAACTTCTTTTTAACTTCCTATTGTTGTGAACAAATTTGAGGCACAAAACTTTAGTGGAGAGGAAAATATTTACACAAAAAAGTTGTAAAACTGTTGGTTTTTTGGGGAGTTTTGTTGTTGTTGTTGTTGTTTGTTGTTTTTGGTTGGGTTTTTTTTTGGGGGGGGGGGGGGGTTGGGTCACCCTGCAATTGCCGAAGAATAGATGTTTTACAAGAGAATAATAAACACAAGAAGGAGCTGAGATGAGGGCGATAGATATTTGATAGGAAGGAAGGAGAACCCACAAACCATACACATATAAACATTTCATGACATTAAAATAATATTATATTCGCTCGGAAAGACATAACAAAGCCGATCAATGTCTCTCTTGTTCCAAGAAATGAGCTTTGAAGTTTTAGTCTTTTATCTGTCTGTTCGACTTTTTAACGTGCTACATCAAGGCTGGAAACGGACTCAATTAATTAACAGGCGCGTTGTTATTTCACAAGTGGCCAAAACTCAAAAGGTAGATCTAGTGGGCCGAACTAGATAAACAGACAAAAGTTAAGATAATTTACATATTTTTACAATTTAAGACAGCAATTTTTGCTCCTTTGCCAATTTGGCAACGCCCGGTGTTCGGCATTTTTTCCCCCTAGCAATAAATTCATTTATGTTCGGAGGAGGGGCAGGGTTCTGTATTATGGATATTTTCAGGATTAACAATCTAAAAAATTTTAGCGGGCTGGATATTTGACACCCGTGGTTTAGATGTAGACTCTGCCGAACTAAACTTATTATGGTGAGGAATAAATCAATTGATTCATTGCTGAGTTGGCAGCTTCAATCAAGGTTCCACAGAGGAAGCCACCGTAGCCTCAATCGAAAATGACCGAAACTCCCCTAGCATTCTTCTGTGAGCACCTCTGCCAGAGCGGTTGGTTGGAGGTCGCCATTGAAAGGCTTAGTTCCTGCTTCTCTTCTTCCTCTCTGTGGTGTCTGTCTATTTTATCGGGGGTTTCCTGCACTAAATAAACGTTGTTGTGTCGATGTGCTTCCCTTGGCTCAAACAAGGAAACAAAGTCCAAAAAGATAATCTAGATGTAGTACAGTAGATTGCTGACGTCAGTAGGTTGGGAAATCCCGAAGTGGTGCAAACAGAGCACTAGGGCAGACCCGATGGAGGGCAGCCTGAAAGAAGGAGCTGTACAGTTGATTATATTACATTTTATACCGTCTGTCTTTATGGTCTTCAAGCAATCTCAAAATGACGATTGAAATGTTCGCCTTAAAAAGGGACAGCTT